CTACATTGATTAAATGTAATTGTTTTTATATGATTTCAGGTTGATGGCCAAACTTCTAGCACTTCCATATCCATACAACAGAAATCTGTGGTGAATTATGGCTCATCTCCCTCCCTCCCTCCCTCCCTCCCTCTCATCTGTTTCTAAATGGGATACCTTATAATCAATATAAATATGAAAGGAAAAAAAGCGTTACTAAAAACTTAAATTGATAGCCAATAGTAATTTCCAGAAATAGACAGTAATTTCTACAAAAATCTGTGTCAGAGCTGTACGTTAAACTGAAATATCCCAAGGGTTATTGTCACAGAGTTGCAGGCAGTCTTAGTTTTTCTGCAATTCCATCTTGATTGTTACTTGAAAACTACTGGGCTTGCAGGGTTGGGCAACTTGAAGTTTTCAGCTTGAGTTCCCTTCAAGGCTTAGTCAGCATAGCCTAAAAGAATGAAAAATCTAACATTCAGAGGATATCAGGTTGTCTATCTTTGAACGGTATTCATACTGAAATCTCTTCTACCTTCCCCTTGAAAACAGAAATATATATGTCTTTTATGTTTGAGTCTCTTACGTTATCATTATTATTGGCTTTGAAGGATGCAGGGGGTATGTCTGGTGACATCACAATCATTAGGTGGAGCCAGAACATTCACATTTTAAAAAAAGAAACAAACAGAAAAATACATTACATTTGGGGGATTCAGGAAAGGTTTAGGAGCAAAAAATTTCCTCTTAAATATTCCCAAATCCCAACCCTCACCAAAAGGGATGAAACTCTGTTTCCCCCCCACTCTGAGAAAGCTTTCGGGATAATTGCATCCTGCAGATTATACATCCATATCACACTAAGTATCATGCCTCCTAACCTAATTGATTTTTTAATCAATCAATAAGTCAATCAATCAATCAACATTTGTGCATCTATTTTAAACAGAAAAGGTGAAACTATTCAGTTTCTCTTTAAATATTAAAAACAAGTTACTTGTTTCATGTTTTGACTAGTGTTCTGCTAAGTGTTTTGTTATGGGTGCTTCCACCCACACCCACATTACCATAATTGACATTTAAGTATCCAATTAATCTTTCCAGAAACTACTTTGCTAGCCCATTTGTTTTCATCAAGAGAGAAAGAGACAGGACAATCTTCAAAGCACTTCCTTCACCAGTCTGTATATTTATTTGTGCGTGGTTTGAATATTTTGAGGATTAAAAGCAGAAGTGTGATCAGTCCTGGAGATTTCTCCCTCCCCAATATATGATAAATGTTTCTTATTCCACCATTAAGATTGTGTCTGTCTATGTGTGTATTTGTCTACAGTAGCCCCCAGTTTAAGAAGAGTTCTGTTCCCAAGGTCTGTCTTTGTCAAATTTGTATGTAAGCTGGAACAGTATTATTGTATAATATTGTATAAGTAGTATTGTG